GCAGCCCCAAACAGTTTCTTTAGAAACTATCAGCCTTTATTCATTGATATATGTGTACTGCTTACTTCTTTTTTTTCAGACAGTACTGGTGTGAATGAATCTCAAGTGCCTGAATCAGGCTCATCAACGAAGCCAGGTTCTGAGGCAAAGACAACACCATATATTTCTCCAGTTACCAAGGTGTGTGCCAAATGGCCTTTTATTATCAATAGACGGTGATGATGGAAGCCTTGATTTGTTCCTTATTTTGAAAGAGGTTATTTTATTTGTGGGTTGAAGTGGTATCCCAGCTGAAATTAATTAAAAGATTTGGTTCATTCCCGCATGAAACAATGAACATTATTGATTCCCCGCCTTACTTCATGACCGATATCAGAGTTAACTCTGCCGATATTGAGGGAATTAACAATACTTCGAGCTATTTTATTTCGACGGAAGGACTTGATTGTTTAATAATCGCCTAAATTCCGTGGTGAAAACATAAAACTCAAAGGGTTGACCCATTTTAGGACAGTTTATTGGGGTAGTCTGGGGACAAGGGGTCAGTGTTTTGTCCATCGCCATTTGTAAATGCCCTCTTAGATCTTAGTCTCGAGGTTCACATTTGGGGGGTCTTTCTACTGGAGTTATATTTGGGTTTCAAAACCAGCTGTGGATGTAACTGTTGGTCGTATTGAAAATGAATATCATATTGATGAGGCTCGAACTCTGATTATCAACATAATTTCTTGCAGACAACTTCAGTCACAGAATCCGTCCGCGGCACACGTAAGGAAGACGCAGGAACAGATGGAATTTACAGTCGATCTGGTGTTTTGATTGGGATTGGAGCGGGATGTGCACTTGTGCTTGGAATCTTTATCATTTTTCTTGTTGTAGCGTGCAAGCGACGGGAATCGTAAGTCTAATACTTTTTTTTCAAATCTTGACTCATTTTTTTCTTTGAATACACGTGTGTCGCCAGTTTCAAACTTTGTGCTAATCATAAATGTGACGGTGATTTCTTGCAGTTGTCAAAAAGAATACGGTAAGGACTGTTCAAAACTGACAAAAAGACTTTAGGTTCCTTTAAAGTATAACTTTACATTGTCTGTTCACTTCTTGTGATGCCTTGACTTTTGACTGTTAAATTTTGTTCCATTTCGACTCATCACAACCGTTTTGGATCAAATAGTGAGTACTAAGATTTATTGTGTGCAGTTTTAAGCACAAGTAGATGATCTGTCTAAATTTGCTTTGGATTCATTTGCTGTTTGTGAAGTTCCATTACAAAAACAGCACCTAAACTTTGGTCTTATGAGTAAAAAGCATGTTCTTAGTGTAATGTGTTTAGCTTATAGATTCCGCGTTACCGCGCATCTGTTCAATGACAGATCCCAGAGGACATCAAAATGTGATGAGAACAAAACCGCGCAGCACGAGGCGCAGCAAAATGTTAATGGTGACGTCATCCAGTGCGTCTGTCCTCCAATTAACAATGGTAAACACCACAGCGTACACTATTGAGTTATGGATGCACGCGGGAGGTTGCTAAGCACGAAAGAAGCGTAAGAGTCGCTCGAGGCGATAGCCGAGAGCGACTCTAGCTTCTTGAGTGCTTAGCAAACCTCCCAAGTGCATCCATAACTCAATAGTGTACGCTGTGGTGTTTACCATTTGTTTTATAACATAACATTGATACATTGTAGCTAAAGAGTTCCCTTTTATTTAACAAATCTTACGTGACCAGAAAAAACAAGCGCGCGCGGAAAAATAGTCTTTGCATTTGCTCACGTCAGCAGCGTACACCCATGGGCAAATGGGGGACCAATCAGAGCGCGCGCTTTACTTTGGTTATGTTATAATCAATATTAAGTGGGAACCTTTCAAAATGCGTGTATAATTCAGCATATCATAAAAATTGAAATTTCTTACACAGGAACAACGAACAGCAAGTAGCAAAGCCAGCAGGTAAATTTTATTTTCATCGGCAGTTGATTGCAGAGTTTTATAGGATTGGAAAGGTACATCATCGAGTCCATTAAGCTTTGCAATCAATGCCTATTTTAAAACGTTTCACTAGCAATTAAAATCCATGTTGAAAGAATTTCACATTAAATGCCTGGACAGAAACATGGTGAATTGAATGCTATTACAAGATTGGGAGGACAAGTAAGAGAAGGCAATATGGATTTTTGCTGCCCAGCGAGCGTAACGATCGAGCAGCAACATAATCAGAATTTAAGAAGAATATATAAGTGGGAGGGGGGCAGTTCTCGAATTAATCACTTTTTACCAGAATGTGTCACTTTTTAGCAAAATGCATCGCATTTAACCAGCGTGCACTGCGCCACGTTTGTTGTGGTGAGTGTATTGCGTTACATAGCATTACTACTGCAAGGACATTTCCTGTAGGTACTCAAACGTCTTGTAAATCTACTTTCCTAAGTAAAGGCAAACCAACTTATCGCTGGTATTACATAGTAAATCTACTATCTTGATCACTATTGAAGGAAAGTTCAATAAGAGCAATGAAAGTAGTCACTTGATCAATGAATAACTGCACCTTGCGTAAGTTGACATTCCGTTAAGCCGTAAAGCAAAAGAGGTGTTGATAGGCCTGTGCGACTCCATTCGCTAGCGCTTTAATCCTGTGCCCTCAAAGTTAATATTAAGGTATCTCTGAATGACTTTCCTTTGCGATGTGATAATAAGGGTTACTTATAAGATGTCATTTCTCCATCTGTGTGTTCTTGAAGTTTGGCAAAGCCGGATAAGCTTGTGTTACAGAACGCAATAATTTTCTTCTTCGCGCACGCCTTCTTCTTCGTCTTTAAGTATACTTTT